GAATCCTCACTGTGTCCCTTTATTTCAGAGAGGTTTGATCATCACTGCCCCTGGGTGGGCAACTGCGTGGGGAAGCGCAACTATCGCTACTTCTATGCCTTCATCCTCTCCCTCTCCTTCCTGACAGCCTTCATCTTCGCTTGCGTCGTCACTCACCTCACTCTGCGTAAGTACCGCGGGTATTAGCAACGGTGTGTGCCGTGCTCCTGCCCACGAATGACTTGAGGCAGCACTGGGTCACTATTCCTGTTGGACGGAGCGTGGGAAGGGTCTGGTTGGTTTACACCAGGCTTTTCAGTGCTGGGGGCCTGAATAAACGAGGTCTCAGACTGCAGGAAACCACAGATCCACCCTGCACCTCGCTGCAGAGAGACCTTGAGAGCTGGTGACTGAGTTATCCCCTCCAGAGCAAATGAGCCGGTGGGTGCATCTGCTCTTAACCTGGCAGGGAAGGTGACTTGCCCTGCAGCTCCAGATCTCCTTTAGCTGTGTTTGTACACTGACGTTTCTGCAAAGTTACAGACTGCAGATGTTTCTCAGGCAGCCAGACAAATCCATACGGCCCACAGCGGGGCGGCTGCGTGCTCGGGAGTGAAGCGTTGGCTGGCGATGTGAGGCTGCCTGATGGGATGTCGTTCCTTGTCCTGTTTTGCATTGCAGGCTCTCAGAGAGATGGATTCCTCGTCACTCTGAAGACGACACCTGCAAGATATCCTTCTGATGCCATCAGCTGCTCAGACTGTTGAGCTCTGGTGCAGCAGTGCTGGTTGTGTAACAGAAGTGCAGTGAGCTCTTTGTAGGGTCACCTTCCTGTACTTTCCACAACTTAATTTAGTCCCCCCAGCTACCTGGTTGGGGCAGATGGGCATCTCTTCATCTGTATCATAGAATATCTGTAGGCTGATAACATCACCAAATTGGGAAGACCTTTAATTCCTTATTTAGTTCACCACCAGGGACTAAGAGTGGGTGAAAAACTTGTTTCCCAGTTTGCAAGTTGACGTGGAAAGGGAAGTGGCTGGAGGATGTTGTGCCTTGGCAGATACCTGCAGAATGGCACAGGGAACGGGAAGCTTGCTGGCATGTTTTTGTGGCCCAGGGTGTGTGTTTGCAGCACATACCTCCCAAAACAGTCCTTTGCCTCTCCTTACAAGATGATTTTGTTCCCCAAGACTTCCTTGACTTTTGTTTCACTGTGCTGGAGCTGGTGATTTGTTTTTTCTCAGTCTGGTCTATTTTGGGCCTCTCAGGTTTTCACACTTATTTAGTCGCCTCCAACCTGACGACGAACGAAGATGTAAGTACCTGGACACTGGTCCTTGGCCCTGGTCTTTCCTAAGCAGAGGTGAGACTTTCAGGGGATCCTTGGCTGCCTGCATCACGTGTGACAATCCACTGCAAAGCCAATGACCCACACCCGAGGCATTTAAGCTGCAGTTTCAGGTAGCTGAGTGGGGACAAAGTGGCACACAGTGGCAGGGGACCGTGTAGCTTGGCAGAGTCAGGCTATGGGGCAAGTCACACGCTGATATGTTAGAAAGGTCACATGTGTGTGTTGAAATTTTCCAGTCTGTATGTGGCCTCACTTAAAATTAGGAGAGCTGAGATTAAAAAAGGCAGGCTGGCCCCAGAGATTTATTTGGGTGTTAGCGTGGGACATGAGTGATCTTAATTCAGCATCCCACATAACCACAGGTTTCCGCTGAGACCCTGGGCAAGTCCCTTTGTCTCTATCGGTTCCTCATGTCTAAAAGGCAAATAATGTACAGAGACATCTCCTGATGAGATTTACCTCAAAGCCTGCGGTGCATCCAAGAGCCAAATGAGTACCCTGAGCAGGGCAGATTGTACAGAAAAGCAGGATCTGTCTGATCCTCAGAAGGAATCAAAATTCACCCTTCTGGCCAGAAGTACCTGTTATCCTTGCTGGAAGCTTCCAGCCCTGCAGAAGACAGGTTTGCATCCCTTTTTTCTTAATTTAATTTTATTTTACTTTCCTTTTTCCCCTTTTCCTCTCCACCTTTCTGTTCTGTTCAGAGGTGTTGGCAGAGCTGCTCAAGGCTGTGTCAGTGCAGCTATTGGGGTGGAGGTCACACCCCAGTACTGAGAACCCTGGGTCCGAAGCGCGTGGCCCGTTGCCTCTCTGGCTGCGTTGCCCACGTTACCAGCCTTATGCTGCAACTGGGGAGGGGAAGTAAAAACAAAAGGAGGAAATGTGATGGTAAATGGTTTGCTACAGCCAGGGGCTTGAGGCCAGGTATAGCATCTGCCCACTCACATGTGCCTACGCTTGATGTGACCGGGGTTTCGAAATCAGAGTCCCAGTGACAGCTGCTGAGGGTGGGGACAGATGAGATTATTTCCTCCCGTTGCAGCAGCGTGGCCTGGGAATCCCCTGGATGTTTGTTCAGCCTGAGGAGCCCAGGAGGGACCATGAGCTCGAGCCCTGCTCTGATGAGCTTTCAGCCTGGGAGAGAACAAGGGGAGGAGGAGGAGGCTGGCGTTGAAGGTGGTGACAGTGACAAGTTGCTGTGCAGCACAGGGAGGGCACAGCTTTGGAGCTTTCTGGCTGCAAGGCTGAACCTTGGCAGAGGCAGGAGCAGCATGTTGCTGTCTCCTCTGGCTGTCCTGCTTGTTAAAGCAAAGAGAGGGAGGACGTTTGCAGTAAGACAAGCCTTCCACCTCGTGAGCAAGGATTTGAACCGAGTCCGTTATGTGATTATCTCCTGTCACATCTTTCCTGTCTTAATCTGCCTGTGTCCTTTCACTTTCAGATCAAAGGGTCCTGGTCAAATAAGAGGGGCTCAGAATTTGCCAATCCCTACAGCCATAAAAGTATCCTCACAAACTGCTGTGCAGTGCTGTGTGGACCATTCCATCCCAGGTAAGAGCCGTTGATCTCCGTGACGCTGGGAATTGCATCCTGCTCTGTGAGAGCATCTTGCATCATGCTCAAGTGAGAGCAGCCTTGGAAAGGCCAAATTTATCACGATTCAGGGGAGACTGTGTCAGCACAAACACATCTACTCGATGGTGAGGAAAATTTCCCAGTCTTTGCAGAGGGAGGCTGGGGACACTATAAGTAGGAGATATAACTGCTGCTTTTCCTGTGTTTGAGCTTGATGAGTTTGGGTCACTGGTAATTGTTTCACAGAACTCAAAGATAAGACACATCCTGTGACTGAATAAGGGGAGAGTAATGGCACCAAAGGGCTCAGCAGCTGATGGCACACACCAGTAGTGACAGTTCTTCTTAGCAAGTGTTTTTTCTCCTACTCTGAGGATCAACCATCACACTAAGCAGCCAGCAGAGATCTGCACCAGGCAGCAGTGATTTTACCAACACTTAGATAACCTGAAATGCTCATTAGCATCCTACCAAATGCTCTTACCGCTGAGTTAACCAGAACCAGAGGTAAAAGAAGGGCAAAGGCAGGCAGTTTGCTGCAGATGGAAGGAAGCTTTGATGATCACCTGAAGCACAGGTCCCTGCAGCGCAGGATTGTTGCTGCTTTGTCACAAGAGGGTGCAATTGGGCAGAGTCAGGACCTGTGTGCTGACTTGGAGCTCCTGACCTGTCCTGGGGCATGTGGGGATCCTTGAGACAGGTTTTTTTCCAGGTTGGGTTTATGTGGAGCATCTCGGAGGTGTAACACAAGAGCAGGGGAGGGTGTCTGAGGCTGTGCAGCTAGAGTCAAAGTGTGTTTTACACTTCTGTCTGCCCTGCTCTCTGAGGGATCCCCAAGCTTTTTGTTGACTTGAGAGGTGCTGACGTGCCGGTGCTGCTGTTCAGAGATGGTAAATCTGCAGATTCAGGGAGCTGAGCTGTGTGCTGGGAGGTTGTGGGGGGAACAGTCTTTTACTCCAGTTCTTTCCTCATTTGTCTTGTTTTCCTGTTGGAAAGACCTTTCGCCAGTTCCCATTTGGGTTTGTGGTGACCCAAAGCTTTAACTGCCCGCAGGCTGTTTGGTGGCTTGTGTGATAAGTGTGTGGTTTGTTGAGTGGGCAGGAAGCTGTGTTACCCAGCGTGCTGCTGCCGATGCTTTGGGGAGCAGCTCCCACCAGGAGAGCCCTCCCTGTGGCTTTATGAGCTCCTGTCTTTTCTTTGGAGTCTTCATTTCCTTAACTCCTCTCCCCTTGCACCCTTTCCCTTTCTGTTTTCCAGTTTGATAGACAGAAGAGGATTTATCCAGCCAGATGTCGGGACCCCGTCCAGTCCTAAGAGCGAAATCCCTTCCTTTGGAGCCAAAACTGACACCAGCATGGTAGGAGGCATTCCCTAGCAGTGCTGTGATGTAGCCCAGTGCCTGCTGTGCCTGCACCTCGCTCCAGCCAGTACCTTCCCCTCTTACCATCTCCCTGGCCTCAGGTGGGACAGCCCTGTGATGCAGAGCTGCCAAAGACTCAGTTGAGCCATAAGTTGCCTTTTTTTAATTTTTATTTTTACATTTATTTATTATTTTTGTTTAATTGTTTCACTGTGATGTGGCCTGTCTGGACTTTCGACTGATAGAGCCCAACAGCATGCAAGACCCTCAGACTCGTGCAGAAAGCAGGGGGTCCCTGCTGCACCTGGGAAGCAAATAGGTCTGGGGAGTCACCAGACCTCTGAGCCTGAAGCTTCTGCTCCAGGGGGTCACGGTGTTTCCTGCCAGGAGTGAGGGGATGGGCAAAGGGTGGGAGATGGGGACTGGTGAATGGTTCCCACACTGAGCTGGGCTGTCACACCTCATCTTCTGGGCTGGTGGAGGTGTAGGTTCCTCAGTATTCCTGTTATCTCCATGAACACGTCCTGTTCCCCTGTGCTGACGTGGAAGGGCTGTTCTGTCTCTTACTGGCTGGGGTATCACCTCAGCTCCTGCCAGAGCAGCTTTTATTTTCCAGAAGCTGCTGTGCCTTGGTGAGTTGGGGCTGTTCAACTGGGAGGACTCTGGCTCCCAGCAGACATGAAGCTAGCTAGATGTACCAGCTGCTGTTAGTCCTGTTTTCTGGCTGGTCACTGAGGAGGTGCTGAAGAACTCTTGGTGTTTTGGCCCCACCAGTCAGTCAGACAAAGTTTTGCAGCAAGGACACAAGTTAGGGTGACCCTCCTTTTAACAGGGAAGAAGAAACACGCAACCTTCTGTGGCTCTTATCATGAGATGCTGGTTGGCAAGGTTAAGATTTGTAAGATTTGGGAACCTTGGTTTGCCAGGAAAACCTGGTTATGTCCTGCCTGTAGAAGACCAAAAGGCAACAGACAAGTGTGTGAATTCCTGAGGGTTGCACCCTTCCCTGGTGGAGTTTCACAGAGGAAGCAGCGACCGGGTGCTGGTCTCTGCTAACCTCTCGTTGTGCTCTTGGTTTGGGTTTCTGACCAGCAGACGAGAGCAGGGCTGTCCCCAGCACCTCAGGAGTGATTCCCATGTGCCTGGGCACACCCACGAGCATCGCTCTGTGCTTGCAGAGGCACAGGAGAGCTGGGCTGGGCAGGCAGCTCTGCGTCACTGACACTGGAGTGTGCGTAGGGGAGGGTCACAGACCTTGGTAGCAATACTTGAATCATGTTATTAAAAGCTGCTGGATATTTTTGCACAATTTGTAGATTTCTTTTTTTTTCCTATGTAGAACATTTTCTATTCAGTGCAGGTAACATTGTGCATCTCAGCACCAGGGCAGAGGCTTGCAGCATTGTATCAAGCTGCCTGGTTAGGTTTCCGTGGGTCAGACACACATATTTCAACCTCAGGCAGAGGCAGCACATTTCTGGGGGCAGCCTGTCCCCCCTGAATTCACCAGCATTGTGCTTTGCACACTGAGTGACCGCACCAGCCTGCCCCTGGCTTCGGGGTGCACTGGGGAACGGCAGAGGCACAAAGTTCCCCTGGCCTTATATTTCTGGCTGCACAGAGACCTCGGTGCTTGTTTGCTGTGGCCACCAGCTCTCCCTTCCCCTCTGCAAAGAGCCGAGGTGGGAGCACAGCAGGGGCTGCTGAATTTCTACCAGATCTTGGCAGATGGTCCTCACTGCCCAGGGGGGCTCCTGGTGCTGCTCTGCCCTTCGTGCTGTCTCACAGACCTGGCACTTTGGTACTTGGAGAGGCCACCCTGCCCTTCCCTCCCTGCTTCTCCTGCAGGGATGGCCCCAGCAGGGCTTGTCCCTGCCTTCGAGGAGCCTTGACAGGCATGGGGCTGAGGTGAGCTGAGCGGTGCGGAGAGGGGCTGGTGCTGGGGAGTGAGGAGCAGTGTGGGGGGGTCTTATCAGGGGCCAAACTCCTTGTTTTTATTTAAACCATTTTCCTTTGTTACTCGACATAATAAAATTATATTTTTAAAGAGTTAATTGCTTGGATTATTATTTTATTCCTTTAAGACAGAAGAAGGCAGGTGTCTCAGTGTTTAACATGTGGCAGTTGGACTCTTTATTAGGTCTGGGCCTTGTCTGGAAGCTCTTACAAGCTCCTGCAGGATGGGGCTGTGAGGGATGCTGGGCAGCAATTGGTGCTGCTGTCACTCCTGCCAGAGCAAGGAGATTTTTCTGTCCCACCTCTAGAGACTGGGCAGGGTCTCATCTGCTCCCTGGTCCCCTTCCTGCAGAAGCCATCACCTGAGCATCCTTTCCCCACCCACCTCCCTCAGTCCAGGCTGTGCCCAGGTCTGTGGTCCCCCTGTCTAACCCAGCCCTCTCTGGCCGTACCGGCAGATGTCGAGGTGCGTAACCTCTGGTGTCTTCCCCAGGAGGATGCCTGCCAGGACTTTGCCATTTCCTGCACAGCCTGACGGGATTTGCCCCCTCCTTGGACGTTAGCTCTGCTTTCTGAGGGTTAGCTGGTAAGAAAGTGTTTTCTTCTCCCTGTCATCCACTCAAGTGACCCATCTCATCTCCACTGCATGACCAGCTCTGTCCATGGAGCCCATCACCCTCCAGCTGTGTAGACATCTGTGTGCCCTGTCCATCCCACCAGTATCCCACTGGCATCTCACCAGCACGAGGCGGGGTGAGCCTGGGTTGTGTGGCAGAGGGGTTGCCCACAGCCTTGGCAAGAAGAGAGGGATGGTTTCCCCCAGTTTTGTGCTGGGGCTTGGTGTGAGGTGGAGCTGCCTGGTCTGTGTGGTGCATGCATGGTGGTGCTTGGAAAATGGGGTGGCTGAGGGTGGGCTCAGGCTCTGGGCAGAGGACTTGTGAAGCCTGGGGCTTGCTGGATGGCACGGCCTGGTGCCTTTTTCTCTGTGGAGCTGCCATGATGGGCTTGGAGGAGGCTCCCAACTGATGCAGAGATTTAGTGTTTGGAACAAGCTGTGTCCTGAACTGAGGAGTGGGAGCCTGGAACAGATTTCTAATCCCAGATCTGACCTGCTCTGTGGTTCGGGCAATCTCTCCTCTCTCTCCCTCTCTGCCTGTTTTCCTCTCTGTAACACCAGGTTCTTCTCTGATGTGGCCGTGGTAAGTTCCTTCTGAAGCATGTTGTGATGAAGCTCCACTTCACTCCCGGGCTGCTGAGCTGCCCCTCACCCTCCCATGCGCCCCTGCCCTCTCCCTCCCATGAGCTCCTGCCTGCTCCAGCCTTGGCAGCAGCAATGGAAGAAGGCTCCAGCAATCTCCTGCACCCCAGACTGTCTCCCCTTTCTGCCACCGAGCCTGGGTGCTCTGCTCCCCACTGCTCCCCCTCATGTATTTCTGTCACTAACTCTCTCTTTCTCTTCCTCTCCTCTCCCTCACGCTGGGTTGATCCAGTATCAAGAGCCCTGGCAGCCCGCAGCCCTCTGCCCCTCGTGGAACACCCCACGGGGAGCCAAGACAGCGCGGGCAACACCCGAGACTACAGCCATGACCACCACCAGTGCCTCCCCTCCCAGGGCTACGCGGCTGCGCCTTCCTCCCTCCCACCATGAGACCGGGGGGAAGCGGCCATGCGCCAGGAAAAGCTTTTCCAACCCCTCTCTGGGAGCTGGGACGGGTGTCCCATGGGTTCAAAGCTCAAAGCCATACAGCAGCCGTCCCACCCGAGTGCAATAACTGGAGTTCCTGCTGTCTCCTGCCACTGGATGGACTCACACAACCGAGGTCACCGGTGGCTCCCCGTGAGCACCAGCCTTACCCCAGTGAAGGTGTCTCCCCATCCTGTAGATGCTGGAAGGAAGTGGCCAGTGTTCCAGTGGGCTTTCAACACGAGTGGGCTTCAGGCCAACGCATTTACAGCTGAGCTGGTGGCATCACACGCCCGACCCCACCAGCCCTTCTCCGAACCGTGTCCATGTGTCACAGAACTCTCCTCTGTGGATGGGAGTTAGTATGTGGGCAGTTTACACTTGCCAGCTTCCCCTTTCCTCTTAGGGTGGCTCTAGTTTTAGGGGAAAGGGTTCAAACCCTGCAAGACCTTGACCAGCAGCTCCAGCACCCAGCGCTGGGTCCTCCAGCACTGAGAACCGGGTCCTCCCAGTGCTGGGAGCTGCACTGAGGAGCTGTGCAGCCAGACCTGATCCCCAGCCCAGCGTAGAGCCCAGTAGGATTCACCATCTATTTATGCCTTTGACTTTTGTAACAAATAAAAGTTTCTCCTATTTACTCTACGCCAGCGTCTGGCTGCTGCTCCGCCGGCGGAGGGGAGCTGGTCCCTGGGGCTCCTGCCTGGACACGCTGGTGCTGTGCTGGGTGGGGGAGCTGAGCGGAGCCGCCGAGGGCTGCACCCCTCTGCCATCAGCCATCCCGACCATGGGGCTGGGAGCCAGGAGCTCCCTAAACTCAGCTTTGGCACCAACCGTGGCCTTGAAGCAAGTCTGAGCCTTCCGTGGCTCTGCACCTTCCTGGACAGTGGGGAGGGCACCAGCCTTGCTGCTGGGGGCTGGGGAGGGAGCGCTGGGTGATGCCCGTGGGGTGTGGGGTGCAGTGAACTCCCCTTGGCAAAATTCCCCCTCCACTGAAGTGCTGGGAGCCAGCAGCGTCCCAGTTGCAGGGCTGGATGGGAGAGGATGGGGTGGCCGGGTGGGCTGTGAGAATCCTTCCAGCACCCCTGGGACTGGCCATGGGCATCCTCTGCCTCCCACCTACCGCTCAAGTGCCCAGCACCTGCCCATGGCATCACCAGCTCGGCTTAGGGGACTGGAGACACGGGCTGGCCTGGGCTGCATCCCCTGGGCTGGGGCTTAACGGGGTGTCCCTCTCTCGAGGATGCTGCTCTTTGGCATTCGGGGCACCCATGGGTGCTCTGTGGGGTGATGCTGCAGCTGAGCTCACCCGCAGCCTCTGTGCAGCGCCCTGGGGCTCTTCCCTTTGCTCACCCGCTGGGTTTC